GTGTGTGTGTGTGTGTGTGTGTGAGAGAGAGAGAGAGAGAGAGAGAGAGAGAGAGGGAGGTCGAAATTCTGGTTTTGGACACTGTCTGAGATACCTTTGAAACAGTTTAGTCGTCAACTTGGATCAGGCAAAGCGTAAATTAAGGGGAAGTGCAAAAAGAGTTATACTCATCGTGAGGGTCTCCACTCTGAAAAAGTTGGGGGACTGACACGGCGATCAGGAGCAAAATGGACAGGATGGAACGTTGCAATGGAGAAGGTTCACAAGCGGTCAGCCTGATTCGGCGATTCCGGAAGGCAGGATTGGGCATGATAGGCGGCATGGGTAAAGATTCATCGTTTATTGACATGCACCGCAACAAGCCTTGGCTGCTGTTTGTGAAGGGGCAGAGTTCCCTTGAAGTCTGGAACCATGAAGATGGCACACGGATCGCCAAATGGAAAGTAAACAAATATGGCAATTTGGTTTCTGGAAGATTTTTCCCGAAGGACGATTGGATTTTGGTAATGTGTGAACAATCGTGGGTTGTGTATCAGTATGAGGCCATCGGTTCCAACTTCAGCAAAGCATTTCTAGACAAAGGCGATAGCAGTCTACTTGTGGACATAGCTGTCCATCCATTTCTTCCTTATCTGCTGATGTGTGCTAACCATCGATATGATAACGTTAAGCTGTTGAACTGGGAATTCACTCCACCCAAAACTCTGTCTCTGGACTATACGGTACTGGCGGGCCATGTCAGTGGAGCGAGGATGGCGGCATTCCATCCCCAAAAATCGCACATCTTTGCAAGTCTGTCCGTCGCTGGGGAGATAATGGTGTGGAAAATAGGGAGAGAGGAACCAACCCAAACGATCGAGGGCCACCCGCAGATTCGTAATTTCCAATTCTGCAATAATGTCCATCAGTCGCATCTCGTCACAGGCGGATCGGGTGGTTACTTGCGAATCTGGGACTACACAACGGGTGCGTGTGTGGCCAACTTGACACGCAATGCTGGCACGGTTGCCATTCGTTCCGCGTTCTTCCATCCACGCTTTCCATACATCTTCAGTGCGGGGAGTGACGGCATCGTTCGAGTTTGGAACGAGTTGAACTACACACCACTTCTGTCCTACTCTAGTGAATTGGAGAACCTGTGGAGCATGGCTTCTTCCAAGCAATGTGATGAGCTTGTTCTCGGAGGCGACGGAACGCTCCTTGTGCTAGAAGTTACCTCCCTAGAAAATGTGAGGGCAGAATACGAGACGGCGGTTGATGAAAAGACTGCAGAATACGAGAGGAAGCTCGACACGATGACTGCAGAATACGAGAGGCAGCTCGACACAACCAGGGCAGAATACGAGAGGAAGCTCTACGAAAGGACTGAAGATTACGAGAGGGCCATGGAATTGTGGCAGGGTCTCTCTTATGCTGCAGAGAGGGAACAAGAAACGAAAAAGCAGTTGGAAGAAAGATTAGAAAAGGAGGTGAACGCGCGGAAAATGTCAGATAAATCCAACGCAGAGTACGGAGAATTAAAAAAATCACTGCTAAAGATCATTGAGGTGGAAGCTTCTTCAAAGAGATTGTTAGAAACGAGCTATGAAAGATCCAAGCAGAGGGTAGGGGAACTCGAAGGAGCACTAGAAGCGGAGATCCAAGCACGAAAAGTGTCTGATAGGTCCAGGGCAGAGCTGGAACAGAATGTGACAGGGAAGGATGAGAGGATACACCAGTTAGAAGCAGAGAGGGAAGAGATGGAAAAGAAGTTGGAAATATCCGATGAGCGCATAGCAGAGCTTGAACGGGAAGGAAGACTGAAAGAGGAGAGGATCCACCAGCTTGAGGCAGAAAGAACAGAGCTGGTTGAGGCGCTTAGTGCATTTGAGCGGAAGAATGGAGAACTGGAAGATAGGTTCGACAAGGAGGTCGATCTGCGACGGAGATCTGAGGAAGCCAGAACGAAGCTCGAAGAGGAGGGCAGAGCGAAAGTAGAGAAGATTCATCGGTTGGAGGCTGAGGCAGTTGTGTTAGCAAAGTCACTGGAAACTGCAAGACAGAAGCCCGAGGAGGTCATGGAATCAAGGCTAGAAAAAGACACAGACATTCAAAAGACAATGGCGAGCTCACCTGAACAGGCTGCCATTGATCGCCCATTTCAGGAGTATTCCTTCAGCGATCTGGTTCGTGCAACAGAGAACTTCAGTAGCGAGAGGAAACTAGGGGAGGGCGATCATCATGGTGGGGCATACCGGGGTGAACTGCACATTAAAACTCCTGTGATAGTGAAGAAACTCCCAATCAAGGGAACCGAGATGAGTCATCATGATGATACCCAGCTCAAGACACAGGTAGTGGACAAGCTGAGGTCCCTACGTCACCCCCATGTGCTGACCCTCTTAGGAGTCTGCTACGGTGACGAAAGATGCTTGATTTACGAGCACATGAGAAATGGAAGCGTGAAGGAATGGCTTTTGTCTGGCAAATCGAAAGCGCTTCCATGGTATGTTCGCTTGCGGGTCATGGGAGAGGTTGCTCGAGGTCTGGCCTTCCTTCACTTGAATCGGACGGCGACAGGTCATGCGATTATCCATTGTGCTGTTAACCCGGTAAATATTTTTTTGGACGACAACTTTGTGGCAAAGCTCGGTGAGGTTGACGAGACACTGCTTGCCTCTGATGTCTCTGCTGGCGCACAAACTCCAAAGCTCGGGCCGATTCTGGCAAAAGGCTCCCAGTACGTAGCACCTGAATGCTTTAGGTCAGGGATCTTCGACGAAAAGACGGACATCTACGCACTCGGGGTCACTATGCTGGAAATGGTGACAGGGAAATTGTGTAATGCAGTTGGAATCGTCGAAGGTGCAATAGAAGACGACGCGGTTTTCAAAACTGTCCTTGACCAAAATGCAGGCGATTGGGACATTGCTCCTGCTCGTGGAGTCGCACGCTTGGGGTTGAGTTGTGCCAGCCTCGACAGACGACAAAGGCCTGATATGATAGGTGAAGGCGGGGGGATTGTTCCTTCGCTGGAGGCAGTTGCTCTCAAGCTGAAAGCCGCATAGTCATTGAGAGAGAGTCTTACTGCGGGAGGAAGTCACTTCCAGACCAGGTGAGTTAGAATTTTCTTGAAGGACTGATGATGCTGGCAAAGCGATCTGCTATTGAAGAAGTTCAACGTCAAAAGCTACTGCTGCAACGACCCACAAAAGTCGCTGTCAGAGAATTATTTTGCAACTTATGAGGAAGCACTATCTTTTTTAAATCTTATTTCTGAGCAGTCCGAGTCCGAGTCTGTTCTGCCGTGATTTGTTGTTTTCTAAGTATGTATGTAGTGTACCACTAACGTGCGTGTGTGTGTGCCTTCCTGGCAGGACGGAAATTAGCAGTAGCACATACTGGGGGTAGGGTAGCGCAGACTGGGTTTAAGGTAGATACTAATTGAGATGCGGCCTGGGACGTAAACGAAAATTGTGAGTGCCTGGAAGGGATTTACCAGCAACTCGGGAAGGCCCGCGAGTAGTCCAGAAGGCGAGGAAGGTCTGGTAGCCTCCAAAAGACATTCATCTGTAGGCAGGCCAATAGCGAGCTAGATTTTAGGCTATGTACAGGTGGTGAAGTATTATGTTGTTCCCGCCAAAAGGAAGGAGATTCTGGTAGGTCCAGGGCACCTAGGGGAAGCTGAGATGAAGTGAGATTCGGTCGAAAGTTAGCAAAAGAGTGTATCATTTGGTGCAAGGGGCAGTCCATTCATTCACTCAGCAGTCATCAGGCTGCTCCACCAGGCTATGGAGGTGAGCAGGAAGGGACATAGGTAGAGCTGCAGGGTAATGAAGGGAAAAGGGACATAGGTAGAGCTGGAGGTAATGAAGAAGACAACCATGGCTATGGAAGTGTGTTAGGCAGAGGTAGAAGTAGTCCTAGGCTATGGAGGTGAGCAGGAAGTCCTGCTAGCTAGGCCATGAAGTGAAAAAAGGCCATGAAAGTGAAAACAAAGGACAATCTAGATAAGCTAAGGAGGTGTTGTAGAGGTTGGAAAAGGAGGAATGATTGATGAACCGGGAAGGAGACTCACCTTTGGCTATAATGGTGGACTCGCATCTTCATCTCCAAGGTTGGTGCTGCATCAGGAAGGCCCCAGAAAGGGTACCGATGGGTTATGGAATCCATCTGGAGGTGTACGCTTGGCGGTTGCTGTCACAGAGGGCAGGGAAGCATTTGCATTGTCTTTTGAACATCCGAGGTGGGCTTCGATGTTACTTCATAGCCAGATGCCATACCAAGGACGAAAGGACTCCGAGGTGTAGGAGGTCGAAGGAGGGCCCTTTACAAGGCTACCCGTAAGGGGGAGTAATCAGAGAATGATTCTGGCTCAATCATTGAGTGTTGTGGCTTCTCTATATACGCTTAAAGAATATAGCAGGTCTTGCATTACGGTCCCAAACGAGACCGCTGCCCTCCGGGAAGCCAAATTCACAATGGCAGAATCATTATGAGGTTTTTAAAATTTTCCAGGTATCGCATCGTATCACGCCAGCTGGATGTGGAAGGGCATAACGGTTTTTGTCTTTTTGCACAGGCCCAAGAAGTAGAGCTGTTAAAAAAAAAAAAAAAAAAAAAAAAAAAAAAGAGCTGTTCCGATACAAGCACAGCAGCTCAGAAACGAGTACATGGGGCCTTGCTCCACTACTCACCACATGCAAAAAAAGGCAAAAAATATGTAGGTGTATGTTCCCATGTTCTGGCAGAAAATTCGTTCTCATTTTGCACATTCAGGGCCTGGCTCCACTACTGTCCAAATGTGCAAAATGAGGATGAATGTTCCGCTCGAACATGGAAAGATACACAGACATTTTTTGTCATGAGAATGTATCTTCTGCTAGAAAATGGAAATATACATGTGACTGGGAAGCACACATGTGACTCTTTTGTGCATGCATTGGGGTGAGTAATGTAGCCAGGCCCATGGCAGGCCTGTTTGACTGGGAAGCATACATGTGACTCTAAGGACCCAGCTTGGGTCCCGGTGCAATGCATCCAAAAGGGGAGAAAAGGGGCCTGGCTCCACTGCTCACCAAAGGTGAAAAATAAGAATGAATCTTCCTCTAGAACGTGGAAAGATACACCACTATGTGATGACTCGACCAAACACGGGCTGAGACACAGTTGATTTCTGAGTTTTGCTCATGGACTGAATGCCTTGCTGAGTTTCCCGCTTGTTACTAAGTTCTGTACGTCTGTGTGTGTGCACGCTTGCTGGTCTGCATGACTGTCTGAGTGCTGGTTGGCTTGAGTGTGTGTGTGACCCGCAAGGGCACTTGTTCGTTCGTTCGGCCCTCAGGGCCGGTACTTACCTGTGGCCGTGACATTGAGGTCTGCAGCGGGGAAAACACTCAAGTGTCGGGGGAAGAGGCTCGCAACACTTGAAGCAGCGGGGAAACACTCAAGTAGCAGGTAGGCCGGTACCACACCCTGAAGAGGTAGATGTGCCGGGTACTGGAGGCCGAGAAGAAGAAGACGAAAGTGGCATTTTGAGAGGCCCAGTAGTTGTAGGCTAGGTCTAGGTGGGTACCAGTCCAACCAGTCTGAGTCTAGGGCCTGTACGGGCAATATCAGAGTCTGCAATGATGTTTCCCTCCGAAAGGGAGGAGGTACCGGTTGCTTGGAAGGCCGAGCCGCCTGGAAGTCACCACCCAAGAGGCAAGCAGGCCGCTATATCTCCAGGCCGGGCGAAGAGCCCAGCCTCATTGTCGGTGTGCAAGTTTGGCGACACACTGGTTGGAGCGCTGGCTGGAGCAGCGCTGCTGGGGAAGGAGCAAGAACACGGAGGAGGAAGAAGAGCAGAAGGGCCTAGGGGGAGCGCCAGAGGTACTTACCTGGCTATGGTGGCAGCCATCTTCATCACCTTGGTGGGCGCTGCAGCAGGAAGACCCCAGCTGGGGTAGAGCTACACCAAGAAGCTTCGAGGCAGAGTGAGGCATGGCGGTCTGAGCTACAGCAGCCATAGCTGGTTTGGGTTGTCCTTTGGGCATCAGGGCAAGGCCCAGTAGTCCGCCATAACCTCGTCCTATGAGAGAAAAGAGTGAGGGAGGCGGCCATGGCTATGGTGGACCTCAAGTAACACCTGCAGTAGAAGAGGGATTCGGACATTGATTCTGGTTCAGCCATTCAACATTGTACTATTATTTCTTGTGTGAATAAGAGAGGAGGAGTAAAGGAGGAGGAGAGTGTTTGGCGAAGAAGAAGAGCTTTATCATTTGTCCATGCTGGTGTACGTCATCTTCTTCTTCTTTCTTTCTTCTTCTTCTTCTTCTTATCCTCTCTCTCCTCTCAAGTTCATTCATTTCTTTCTGCAATTGGACGACATTATACTATCTGATGAAATTCAGTGTATATCTCGAAATTGGCCAGGATCATAACAGCTGTATTTTTTTGTCTTTTGTGCATGACGGATGTTTTTTGTTCTCCTGTGATTTGAGCTCAGGTCTGTCTTTTTGCAGTTGATGGAGGTATCATCCTGCCTCATGGCCTTGCCTTTTTTTGGCTGTTTTTTTTGTGTTTTTTTCGGGGGCCAGGGCGGAGTTGGTACCGTACAGCCCTTGTAGGCTTGTAGCCCACCTGCCTCTCATCGTATCCAGAGCCAGCATGGTGCCTCCCTTTGGCCAATGGCATGTGCTTTTTTTTTTGCTGGGGCTTGGGCACCACCCGCATACATGTCGCATGTGTACGAGAGTGTGGTGGGGGAGGAGGGGGTGACCGAGGGGAATGATGGAGGAGCAGGTGTGCTGGCATTTGCTTGTATTAGGAGATGATGTTGGGTTAGATCATGTAGGCGAATCGAGCGGGCGATGACATTGGTTTTGGCGTATGTTTATCTTCTTCATTTTCTTCTTTCCTTCTAAGTTCTTCTTGCTTTGTCGCATTCGTCTTGTACTTTTCATTTGAGTTGCATTTGAATGGCATGGTTTCTTCTTGAGTTTTTGAAAGATGAGCTGATCAGGATCGTATAAGCACGCGGAGATCATCGACAGGAGAACTGAACATGAGATTTGAGCACGTTGAAATAGCCCAAAATCCACTCTCAGACTGTCTCTCTCTCTCTCTCTCTGGATTTCTCTCTCCCTCTCTCTCTCTCTTTCTCTCTCACAGAGAGAGAGAGAGAGAGAGAGAGAGAGAGAGAGAGAGAGAGAGAGAGAGAGAGAGAGAGAGAGAGAGAGAGAGAGAGAGAGACTCA